TTTGGCGAACACACAGAGACAGAAAGTATATTAGTGGCTGTCAGAGGAGTTTGAGAAATTGGTGGGGGCACATGAGGGCTGAATGAGCAGTGACTGCTTAATAGGTACAGGGTTTCTTTTTGCAGTGATGAAAACGTTCTAAAATTATACAGTAGTAATAGTTGCACAAAACTGTAAATACACTAAAAGCCACTGAATTAACAGTTGACCCTCAAATAACATGGGTTTAAACTGCACAGATCCACTTGAGAATTTTCTTTCACCTCTGGCACCCTAGATGACAAAACCAACTCTTCCTTTCTCCTCAGCCTATTCAATGTGAAGACAAGTAGAATGAAGACCTCTATGACAATCCATTTCCACTTCATCAACAGTAAACATATTTTCTCTCCTTTACGATTTTATTTTCTTTTCCTTTTTTTTTTTTTTTTGAGATGTTGTCTCCCTCTTTCGCCCAGGCTGAGTGCCTATAATCCCAACACTTTGGGAGGCCAAGGCAGGCGGATCACTTGAGTCTAGGAGTTCTAGACCAGCCTGGGCAATATGGTGAAACCACATCTCTACAAAAAATACCCAAAAAAGGCTGGGCTCAGTGGCTCACGCCTGTAATCCCAGCAATTTGGGAGGCTGAGGCAGGTGGATCACTTGAGATCAGGATGTTGAGACCAGCCTGAGAAAAATGGCAAAATCCCATCTCTACTAAAAATACAAAATTAGTTGCGTGTGGTGGCACACACTTGTAGTCCCAGCTACCCGGGAAGCTGAGGTGGGAGAGCTGCTTAAACCCAGGAGGCAGAGGTTGCAGTGAGCCAAGATCGTGCCACCACACTCCAGCCTGAGTGACATGACAGAATGAGTTATACTACTACAAAAGTTATACTACTTGACCGCATGCAGGTAGGGAGGGGGGATGGTGTGAGCACCACAACCCCTGCATTGTTCAAGAGTCAACTACACTTTAAGAGTGAATTTAATTCTATTTCTCAATAAAGCTGTTATTAAAAATTGTGTAGTCATTCTAAATTTTGACTTATGCTAATTAATCTAACTGATATAGATATGAAAGTTTTGTTGCAGTTGCTGTTTTAACTCAGGTACTTGGAAATGTAAATAAATATTTCAGGTATCCCAGCTCCTAGGAAATTCTAACATCTAATTTCAATTTCTCTCCCTGCAATTTAATTCCACTCAACCTTGAGCCTTCAATTAAAGAAATAAATAAACCTCAACACTACCCATAAAATCTCTCCATGAACTTCAAAACTTTATGTCCTTGCCTCAATCCTCCTTCTATAATCTAAATGAATCCTTTACAAAGAAAGGCAACCTCAGATTGTTTTTTAGGCCTTACTACATTCTTTAGGCCCACAATCCTACACTAGAAGCATTTTATATTCACTTAATCCTTACGAAATTATCTCCAGTTTACCATGACGAAAAACATTTTAGTGATGACAAAGAACTTGCCTAAAATCACACAGCTAGAGTTCAGAAAAGCCAGGATTTGAACACACATTAGGAGTCAGACTTGGTTACTGACATCAAATCAAAGTGACGAGACAAAAGCTTAAGCAGAAAACAGGTAATACCTAAAAATTTTGAACTACTTTCTGTAGTTCACTGTGGCTTGGTCATGTGCACTTGAGATCAAGTATACATGTGGGACAACATCGTGGGTAGAACTAGGGTCAGGATATTGATCTAGGTATCTAGGGAAACACACCTGCCCCAAAACAGCAAGTTCACACTCTTACTTGCTGATTTTATATTCACTTAATTGTATCCATGCATGGTTCAAAAACAGAGGCAAGGGTCTTCTGGAGAGACACTGTAGCTTAACAGAGTAGTACTAGTTTTGGAGCAAAACAGATTTAGATTCACATCTTCACTTGGCCACTTACTAGCTATTTGGCTTAAAACCATTTAACTTTTCTAAATACTTAGCATCCTCATTTTCAGAATGAGGATAATACTCATCTTGCAAAGTTGCCTGAGGAATAAATGGAATAAGGTGGGTAAGTATTTAGCAGAATACCTGGCTCAGAGTAATAGCTCAATAAATGGTAAGCTGTTTTTATTTTAGTTAAGTGTGACACCTACGGTCTTAGTAAAACAAAATTATTCAGGTAAAGCAGCAGCATATTAAAATATTTTTTAAAATTATATCTAAATTTGCACTTAAATTTGTCAATTTTGATAACTACTACTCTTCAAACTTAACTTTTTCAGGTTGGACGCAGTGGCTCACATCTGTAATCCTAGCACTCTGGGAGGTCGGGGCGGGCAGATCATCTGAGGTCAGGAGTTCGAGACCAGCCTGGCCAATAGGCTGAAATCCCATCTCTACTAAAAATACAAAAATTAGCCAGGCATGGTGGTGCACACCTGTAGTCCCAGCTACTAGAGAGGCTTGAACTGGGGGGCGGAGGTTGCAGCGAGCCAAGATTGCACCACTGCACTCCAGCCTGGGTAACAGACTGAGACTGTCTCAAAAAAAAAAAAAAGAAAAGAAAAAGGAAAAAAGTTAACTTTTTCATAATATAAAACATTTAAAAAGTTGAGAGAAAAATCTGAAAACTACAGAAAAAAAGAGAAACAAATATACCATAATTCTACAACCCCTAAAACACATTCTACTGAATTACTGAACACTTAAAAAGCCATCTGTGGGCCGATGATGTACTTGGGGAAAAGAAGAGTGTCATTCTAACCATTTCTCTTTCTCTGTATTTCATCAGCCTGTTTGAATTTCCAGAGGACAGGTAGGGAAAATGCTGGGGAAAACAAAAGTACAAAAGCCAGTCAGTTGTACTTTTCTTTTTGGGAGGCAAGTTTTCATATTGGAAAAGTTTTGAACTACCTGAAAACTTAGATTTGAGAAGAAAACTTAGATTTGAGGATTATTTGTGGAGTTTGTTCTCATTCTCTTCCAGGCTCATTACAAAAGATCTGAAAATTTGTTGATGATTTGAGAACTGCAGATAAATATGAACTTATCTTCTCCACACTTGCCCACTAAAAAATTACTCATTTTAAGAAACACCTATTAAAAGAAACAAAATCAAGCAAACATCTAAAGCATTAGATGATTAAAGGATACATATTACAGCCTAAGTTGGAGAGAAAATTACCCAACAAATGGCTTTTTTCCCTGGGAGCTTCTACTGTGCAAGTCTGGGGATCTCCAGGCACAGAGAAAAATTTTCCAGTTTAAATAATGAAAATGTTACAATAACCAGATAACCTACCAAATAACCAGAATTTGAAGTGGGACATGAAGGGCCATATCAATGGGGGAAAAAATGGCACTGGTGATATCTAGAACAGAAAATAAACAGGAAATACTTTAAAAGGCCAAAATTTGCAAATACAGATTAACAGGGTATGAAATGAAATACTGGGCAACGCACCTGTTAAAGGAAAAAGGGGAACAGAGGATGTTTGAAGTCTTATGTATTTAGTGCTAGCACTAATTCCTGATCTAGCTGTCATGTGGAAAGCATGCTGTCCTGAAGAAAACCTGGGTCCTGGCTTATTCCAAACTACACAGTACTTAATTTAAGTAGTAGTACCTAACCTCTCAGTGTCTTAATCTGTAAAATGGATGCCCTTTATGTACTCACAGCTCTGTGTGAGTCACAAAAGAATTCTGAGCAGATGCTTTTTAACTCCAAAGTGCTGTACAAATCAGAACATCCCTTTTCTCTTCACATTAGTTTGACATGGAAATTTACTTCATAGATGGAAGAAAAATTATTTCGGGTACATTGACGATGAAAATGTGCCGAACGTGGTGAAACAAAGTTAGGTGAAGACAATTATAGAAGTTTACCTGAGAGGCCAGGCGCGGTGGCTCACGCCTGTAATCCCAGCACTTTGGGAGGCCGAGGTGGGCGGATCACCTGAGGTCAGGAGTTTGAGACCAGCCTGGTTAACATGGTGAAACCCCGTTTCTACTAAAAATACAAAAAATTAGCCAGGCGTGGTGGCACACGTCTGTAATCCCAACTACTCGGAAAGCTGAGGCAGGAGAATCACCTGAACCCGAGAGGCGGAGGTTGCAGTGAGCCCGGATCAAGCCATTGCACTCCAGCTTGGGCAACAAGAGTGAAACTCTGTCTCAAAAAAATAAGTTTAGCTGAGAACAGATGAGTCTGAATCAAGGGACTGAAATCAAGGACTGAATCAAGGGACAAATGGGCAAACTGTAGAAACTAGTCGTATGACGACTTCTTACAAACCACAAAAGGACATGCTCACATAAACATTCATCAATAACAAGAAAATGTCATCAGTATTAACGATAAATCACTTAAAAAATACCCAACAATATGATTTGTCCAAATCCCTCTACCACGATTCTGGTGAATGTGCGTGCTTTAGTCATAACTCTTCTGTATATTACGACAGGACAAGACCCGCTTTTTATAAAACGTTTAGCAACTCGCCAAGAAACTGGCACACTTTACCTTTTTAATCGCTAAGCAAACATGCAGCTCAGCTGAGATAACCAGACGAATGTTCAGCCCTCTTCAAAAATAAGATACAAGAGTTTTACATTTTGCCAGCCTGATGTCTAATACCGATCACAAGCCCCTATTTAATGCTCTTTCTAGATGTTGGCCACAGATCACGGAAGAGTCCATTCTTTCAAATTCTGAGGACTTTCTACGCTTCAATTCCTAAGCTAAATTGCCAAGGTTTTACTACCACAAAAGTTTAAAGTCAACGGAGAGCGTGCCCTAATCCCTAAATCGATTAGGTTTATTACACGGCACCAGCGAGGAGGGACTGGAAATACAAGAACGAGCGGGTCCAATCGCCGGTGGCCGCGGGACCCGACGCCCTGGGCCCGGACACCCTCCCCGGGGACGCGGGCGCCACGGGCCCGGCTCCCAGACGAGAGCTTGCAGGGGAAGGGGAGGAAGAAGGAGCCGGGGGCCCTAGAGCCGGACCGCGGCTCGGCCTCCCTCCTGGCCCGCGCCTCTCGCCGCGCTCACCGCGTTCTTCTTCTGCACCATCTTGTCCATCTTCTTGGCAAAGCGGACCACTTCGTCCTCCATGGCTCCGGCAGGTCTTCTCCGCGCCCAGCCCGCTGGCAAGGGGAAGTGGGCGAAGCTGGAACGGAGGACACGGCAGGAGCGACCCCCAGCGCGCGGCAAGCCCCACCACCGCAGGCCCGGGCCTAGGCTCCCTTCCTCACAAACCAAGCCCGCGGCGGCGGCGGCGGCTGTGGCGGCGGCAGCAGCTCCTCCTCCCCAGGCAGCGACAATCGAACACCGCGCGCGACATGCAGGCGCTACCAATTGACTGCAGATCGCTGGGAGGGGGCGAGCCCAGGTTCCCGCCAGGCGGGCGTCGGGCTAGTGGGCAGGCGTGGCTTCCGGCGAGAGGGTCATGGAAGATGCCAGGTTTTGCTGCGCGTTCACCTCCGGCCCCGCCTCCGCACAGGGCGGGTTTTCGGCCCTCGGTTACCTCCTGACAGCCCGAAGTTTTAGAACCCGCGGAGGCCCAAGCAGCTCGAAACAGGGGCAGATTCCGAGCATGGAACTTTGGCAGGTTTTAAAGTCTGTGGGAAGCCAAGCACTTTCTCCATAGGAGACTGCTACAGGGAAAAACGGAACCCGCGTCCCCTAAATTAGGTTACGGAGTTAGTCGTTTTAAGAGTTCCTTTTTTTGGAGACCAAGCCTCGCTCTGTCGCCAGGCTGGAGTGCAGTGGCGCGATCTCGGCTCCCGGCAACCTCTGGCCCCCAGGTTCAAGCGATTCTCCTGCCTTAGCCTCCGGTGTAGCTGGGACTACAGGCGCCCGCCACCACGCCCGGCTAATTTTTTGGATTTTTAGTAGAGACAGGGTTTCAACAAGTTGGCCGGTATGGTCTTGATCTCTTGTCCGCCCGCCTCGGGCTCCCAAAGTGCTGGGATTACAGACCTGAGCACTGCGCCCGGCTAAGCGTTCCTTTTTTAAAAAAAATCGGCCGGGCGCGGTGGCTCACGCCTGTAATCCCAGCACTTTTGGAGGCCGAGGCGGGTGGATCACCTGAGGTGAGGAGTTTGAGACCAGCCTGACCAACATGGAGAAATACCGTCACTACTAAAAATACAAAATTAGCCGGGCATGGTGGCCTGTAATCCCAGCCACTCGGGAGGCTGAGGCAGGAGAATTCGCTTGAACCCAGGAGGCAGAAGTTGCGGTGAGCCGAGACTGCCATTGCACTCCAGCCTGGGCGACAAGAGCGAAACTCTGTCTCAAAAAAAACAAAAAATAAATAAAAGTCAAAATCGTTTGTGAGCTCCTGGAGTATTGAGACCCAGTCTTGGGAAAGGAAGTTTGAATAGTTGAAGAACAGTTGACAGAAACCTTCTGGTCAGAAATTACACAAGGCATCCCACCAGCTTCTGAGGATCAGAGAGGAAGGTGACTTAAGTTGTGACAGGGTTCATAGTGGAGAATGTAGGCTCCTCCAAAAAGTCTTTCCCCACTTAAACCCTTCAGTACCAACTCATGCTATTTGCAGGTATAACTCCCACACCACGTAACTATCATTCATCAAAGTACACCACCTAGTAATGTTCTTTCTATACTGAGATATTTCCTGGTTCTGACTCACTCATTTAGGGAACAAGTATTGGGATCGTTTCCCTATTTCGTTTCATTTTAAAGTTATCTTTTTATTATTAATTTCCAGCTTAAATTTTAGTATTTGTTGAGATTTATCTTGTCCATTTTTTTTTTTTTTTTTT